GGGGGGGGGGGGCACAAACCCTGCACCCCTCCCCTGGATCAGCCCCTGGTACTTTAACAACTAGAGTTCTGACTTTAAGAGTCCTGTTATGTTCCAGAAACAAATTAAGGAAAATATTGGAATTACCACTTGTACTTCTTATATATTATAATTATTTGCATAGAACTTAAATATAAAGTCCATGTAGTTGAGGAAAAAAATAAATGCAATAGGAGAAATTGGAAAAATGCAGTTAATAATACTTGAATATGTACATATAAGTGTTTCATTAACCACGTAATCATAAATGACTTCATTTTTCCTGGCACATTTACATTCTCCACAAGACATGTCTGTACTGCTAAAAATCTTCAACCAAAAGGACACAATTGTAAAAGCTATAGAATATAGATGTTACAAGAAGCTCTTGACAGCCTTTTTTTAAATATAAAAAATGCTCTGGCAAAATCTGACAATTTGAGTTTGAATCCTTCAGATAGTTTCATTCTCATTGGAAAAAATCATATGAAATTGACACGAAGTTTCTCATGTAATGCATCATGAATTATTGATAAGACATCTCTTGGGATAATCACACTTAATTTTCTGATTTTGCTAAGATAAATGACTTCATTTCTGAAATCTGTTTCTTAAAGAAGTGTTTTAGAAATAGTGATGTCACTCAATGTTTAACTTAATTTTCTGATTTTGCTAAGATAAATGACTTCATTTCTGAAATCTGTTTCTAAAAGAAATGTTGTAGAAATAGTGATGTCACTCAGTGTTTRACTACGTGTATTCCAAAGCTTTTACCTTTTTGTAGTTTTTGATGAATCCAGGGTTAAAAAGCTATTTCACATGCTACTCAAATCTAAACTTAGCTTTTGCAAATGTTCATTTTATTGCATAATATATGCACATTTAGAGAGGGGACTGTCCTTATGAGGAAAATATCTCAAAACCAGGACAATATGTTGTTAGAGTATGGTATAAACACGTTTGTGATAAACTTGGGTAAGATGGTAAGAGAGATTTAACTTATGGATAAAAGCTCTAAGCAGTACTCAAACTCTGATAAGAAGTATCTAAAAAAGTACTGTCTGCTGTGTCCATACATGTGTTAAAAGAACTTAGATCCTCTAAATCTTGGCTGTTCAACATCCCTACCAGTGTGGTGTCATCCCTGACTTGACTCCAGTCAGAATAATTTGACATTTCAGGTGGAAAYACATCCATTTGTATTTCAGCAGCATCTATATCACTGAAGACTTTGTCTAAAGCTGTGAGAATGGCAGTGGCATATTTCATTCTCCATATTTCTACCAACTCTACAACATCTTGGATGGTAAAAAGAATGCTGCAGTGTTCAATCACTTGATTAMTATGGAAAGAATTAAACTCCATGAGTACATTGGGACATGTCACCATAGTATCCACTTGTACCTCCTTCATCATTTCTTGCTGGAAGCAATGAAGTTCCAATCTCAGTTTCTCCCTTTGTTGTTCACTGACAACTCTTGTAAATTTGGCTCTTTCATGATGAGCATGTGCATTGATGGTGGTCATTAATTTCTGGACTGGTGACTTTTTTGTTGTATCTCCATTCAAATTGGGACTCCAAAGCACCCTGCAATCCTTGTCACTACACCTGCATTTCATTGCACATTGTCCACAGCATTTGTGAAGTAAACTGTTACTTGCCACTTTACTTTCAAAATGGCTCATTAACCATATACGCGAGCATCCTTCTTGTTGGACATAAGCCTTCATATCCCTATCACAGTGGGCTGACAGTAGTCCATTGAACAGCAGGATGCAAGAGCTTGGAAGTCCATCCYGTCCAGCACGCCCACACTCTTGAACATACTGTTCCACTGTCTTCGATGGTCCAAAATGCACAATCTGTCTAACCTTCCTGCAATTGATACCCATGCCGAAGGCAACAGTACAAATGACAACTCGTAAATGTCCATCATCCTTTGCCATATTTTCGATTATGTGTTCCTTAACTCTTTTAGGGGTGCCAGCATGAAACATTTCAACCAGTCTTTTTTGTGGATTGGTTACTCCACCACTGTACATCTTCAGACCCAAAAAAACTTCAAACATTCGGTACAGAACTGAACACTGCTTTCGTGTTTGACAGTATATTAATGTTCTTGGCGTGTTTGCACCCATATCATCAACTTCATTAATAAGCCGCCCAAACACAATCTCCAATGGCTCATTTTTATCTACATATTGTGTAGAATAAAATAAATTTGGCCTGTCAGGACTCTGCTGGATCATTTGCACATCCTTTGGTGACAGGTTCARGGTTTCCATTATTTKTTCCTTGGTTGCCTTGGTGGCAGTTGCTGTTAGGATCACTGATTTAGTATCTTTGGGAATTAAAGAATGTAATTCTCCTAAGCAACCATACCACTTCCTGAATGGGACCTTCTTGGTACCTGTTAGCCCCCTGTAATAACACAAAGAACAAAACAGCAATTAAGACATACACCTACTTGCAAGAACGTTGTCATACGATATTAGAACATTAGTAATTTAGTGAGAAAGGAATACATTAAAAAGACAAACAAAAAAATTCAGCTTCAGTGATCTTCTTTTGTTCTTTAAAGACCCATTGCCACTTACCGTGATGCACCGCGGTCACAGATGAATTTCGTGGTCCATGAAATTCAAAGATTCATATATTGAATAATAAATTCATATTAAATCCTTTTCCGACATAGCACTAAGGCACAAATTAATTCTTTTACATTCCTTTAAGAGTTTATTCAAAAGGTTAGAATTGTTTTTTCGGTTGTGACACGATTCAAAATGTTAACAAATTGTGATGCATCACGGTAAGTGGCAATTGGTCTTTAATATAATTCCTATCCCACTAAACCACTAATGTTCTATTTTCGTATGTCAATGTTCTTGCAAGTAGGTGTATGTCCAACTTTAAAAATTATAGAATAATGAAAATATTATATCCTGAATGAACTACCTCAAACATAGCATGCTATATCAATGTGCATGTTTATGTTTCTACTACATTTATGTTGTTGCATAACACTACTATGTAATAAATAYATATCTATACATCTAATGTACAGTGTAAGCCATAGACAGTATTTCTTGCATGGGTTTTCTATTTTATTTTATGTTAGATTATCAGTCTGTCTTTCTATATATCGATCAATCCGTTCATCTTCGCTTGATCTGGTTGTCTAGCTATCAATTATGGCTTTGCATCTTTGCATAAATKGTATGGGATTTTGGATGATTTTAAAAATTAATATTTCACACCGTTTTGGTGGACATAACAATTTTGGTTTCTCCCACGTTCCTTATTAATTCCAGCTCAAAAATTACAAATTTAAAAAAGGCAAAAATCCGTTTGCAAAGGTTTTACCCTCTAATTTTCAATCACAAGGATAATTTAGAGTGAATATCAACCTAGCTAGAAATGCTCTATACTAAATTTGAAAATCTACCAAAACGAAAAAGAGATAAAAAGTTTTAAATTTGTMAACATACCATTGAACGATGCAGTGAGCTTCATCTATTACGACGCCGATCATCATATCCCTGAAGCTTGGCGTGCAGAAAATTCCTCTCCATGTTGTAGTAGACAGAAAGCACTCTGGGGAACCGAACAACACGACATAGTTGCCATTTACGATCTGCTGGATGATTTCAGCATCTTCCTCGTCACCGATGGCAATTGCTGGAATCCCAATATTATTTAGATATAGCACATGATCTTCCATCAAAGATCGAAGTGGAGAAAGAACCACAATGATGCTGGATCCTCTGGATTTACATCGCAAAATATCCGAAACTATGGGAAGACACTGAAAAATCAGTGACTTCCCGTAAMCTGTTGGCAGGTTTACAAAAATWTTTTTGTTACTAAAGAATCCCTTAATAGCCTCCTTTTGTTCCGGCAAGAGGTTTCTTACTTCAAACTGATGTTCAACTGCCGAAAATGCTTCTCTCCATAACTCTTCGCTGTATGCCGCCATTTTGATTCAGACGCGGTGACGAAGACAGCAAGTCAACAGCAAAGACTCAAGACCAATCAGAAACGCCGTTAGATTAACCAATCAGCATTGAGTCGACAAATCAATGCGGGGGGGCTTTGGAACACGATTCTTGTCGCTGCTGCGCAGACGGACTTTACGACAGAAAATTCCGGATGCAGTGCAGGCTACTAAATTCTTGCACAATTTTTTCTGGCCCTCCCCTCCCCCATAGCTTATGATTTAGGCTGACCTTGTTTTTGATATAGCAGTAAACGAGTTGCAAAAACGGGTGAAAAAAAAAAAAAAAAAAAAAAAAAAAAAAAAAAGAAAAAAAAAAAAAAAAAAAAAAAAAAAATTACAGAAAACACAATTTTAATAGTGAAAGAAAAATTCGGAATAAAATCGAGAAAAAATCGACTACATCACTATTCGAATTGGCTCCCTGTGGTTTCAATAAGCTCAAGCGTTTTGTTTTTTGCGTTACGTTTGCGTTTGTTTCTGTTGTTGGTCACGGAGTAAAGTTGATGTGTTACATGAATGGCGTGCGTGTCGTATGGAGCTAAACCGATACAGATCCTCTTCCCGTTTGCGTCTGGCCTGAGAACGAACATAAAATGTAGACACCTGAGCTTAAGGAAGACTTACAGACACTATTGTTCAAAGAATGGTACCAACTTCTCGCCCCAAAGTATGTCATTTTATAGCATAGTGATAAATTATTTACCTTTTGCAGACTTAGATTTCTCTACATATAATTATATATATATATCGATATATCCAGCTCGAATCTTTAGGCCTAGTTATGACAATTCTTTAATAATCTATCTTCTAGTGCCCTCCAGTCATTCAAACAGTTTCAGGATTGAATCATGAAGTAGTTTTCGAGATTTATTTATTGTCGATTTACGGTGACCTACTAAACACATTTTGAACTGATTATACGGCTTATTACTACTACAGGCCTTTATAGAGCTAATAGCTATTGAATCTCTTCATAAAATATGATTTTTTTTTATTAAAAGAAAACACCAGCAGTTCGGTAGCACGGTGGAGTCCGTGGCGATGGTATAACGCAACGCTAAAGAGAAGACCTTTGATTACGAAATGTGTCACATCAGGAGGTACTGGTGAATTAATTATCGCCTTAATTTTATGCAGAACAGTTTAATATTTATTGTTTATATTGAAAAAATCATCCCCGTTACATGATTTTGAGAATTACTTTTCCTGAAGGATAGCCCCAAAGAAGAGTCTTGCTATTTACAGTAAAAGAAAAAAAGGTGACTCTTTCTTAAAAAGCATTCTCGGCAGGCGAAGTTGCAAATCATATCATATAATAAAAACCCCGGACCATCGAAATGGTGGCTACGGTCCTATAGTGTTGGTTTTTGTAATAGCAATATTTAAAATATAGGTACCCAATTTGAAAAAAGTGTTTTTTTATGTATGGTTTTACTGAAATTGGTTCTTGAAATTGTAATTCCAAATGTTTTTCCTATTGTTTTCGTTTTACTTACTTGTAGTGTTGTATGGTCTTGGTGATGTCGTAGCCCAAAAGATATGGTCACCAGAAACAAAACTCGACAGACAAGTAAGCAAATTTCTAAATCTATTCTAAGTCCATGCATAAGTCCATAAGACCGAAATAAATTATGGACTGTAAGCTGTGAATTGAATTGTTTTATAATTTTATTTAGTTGTTCGCAACAACTTTGAGCGATAACCTGCGCTGGCGAATAGTCAGGCTACGTGTATTTTGAATTTGTTAAGGAGAAAACGCTCAGTCCCCAAAATTTACTCGGTCTCAAATTTTAGATTTCAGATGTCCGACCCACGTTTTTTTAAATTGGTATACAGCTAGAAATTCATCGAGTATTTTATGGGATTCTTTATGTAGTGTTCATTAAACGAGCAATTGCTATAAAAAAATACACCGATTTTGATATGTTTCCACAAAGTAATTTTTGTGTAGGTCCTTCTAGATTGAATTAGAAGTCTAGAAGTTGATTTTTGCGGAGGGAGGAAAACCGAAGAACCCTAGGAAAAAGAATCGAAGCACAGAAGAGAACCAACAAAGAACTAGCTAGAACTCTACTCACATACGACAAGTCCGAGGATAGATTTGCTCGGGTCGCATTTGTGTGAGGTGAGCGCTCTCACCGCTATACACGCCACCCATGCTTGTGTATATAAAAACACACACAATACAATTATAGTTCCCGCGCTTGAGTACTTGACCATCTCTCTGTTCATGTCCCGACTATATGGCAGCCACTAACGATTGTTATGTATTCTTTAGAGAATCCTAAGAGGTATCGTGTACGGTACAATCATAGCTGCTCCACTTGGCCATCTTCATTTCAATTTTTTAGAATGGCTTGTGGTAAAGAAGGTACGATATCATACGATACCTGCACAGTGACGAAGTAGGGATTAGGGTGAAGGGTAGGTGGTGGGGGGGNGGGGGGGGATGAACCTCCTAAGTTGTTAAGATATTATGTTATTTTGGGTTAAAAAAATGGAAAAGGTTGCGAATATTTTAAAAATTTCGTGTAGTGACCAAAGAAAATCCTTTTATGGAGTAAATTTGTTTTGTCTCACAAGTTGCTTGGAAAATTGCAGTGAGTAACAGGGCCTTTATTCTGCGCTCTTTTTTACTCTCATCCCTTACTTTAATTATCACTTGCTAGTCACTCTACACATGTATCCCTTTCATTTTTTTCTGACATTCATTTACTATTCCAGTCATAATCTATTCAATAATTTGCTTCTTCCTTCCAGGTTGCAGTTCGTTTAGCTTTGGTTCCTTTTGTTAAGGTCTTCATTGATCAGTTTGTCTATTGGGCTCCAACTCTTGTATTTCTATATCATGTAAGGTAAGCATCGCAAGATCATTAAAGGAACATAGCAAAAGAATATGAACTAAGAGAAGGAATCCGCGCGCCCCATCATGCACTCTTTGATGCTATTTTTAGAATCTTACATTTGATCATTTAATATGAATGGTTCATTATAGCAAGTAATCCAGTTCTGTTGAATCTTTTATTCCAGTATGGGAATAATGGAGGGTCTTAGCTATGACCAGTGCATTAAAAAATTAAAAGAACTTTATTGGCCTACTTTGCAAGCAAATTGGATGATGTGGTTTCCCCTGCAGGTAAGTCCAAAAAAGTAAGGCCTCTAAACAAAACCGTGTCACATACACAAGTATGACATCTACATAAGTGCGGATCTAGGATTTTTTCCAGAGGGGAGGGAGGGGAGGGGGGGGGAGGGGGTGCACCGTCAGGATTTTCGTTTTAGGGTGGCACCCTTTACTTACAAACTCAAACACCAATAATGCAGTACATATGGGCTTATCTGAGGGGAGGGGGTGCACTTCCCATGCACCCCTCCCCTAGATCCCCATGCTTCAAGCAAAATGGTAGTTAGCTAATTTATGCTTTTTTCTTTCTTTACAGATTTTGAATTTTAAGTTTATTCCTGTAGCTCATCAGTTAAACTTTTGTTTAGTAGTTGGAATGTTTTGGTCAACTCTTCTTAGCTATATTCGAGGAAAAGGTACGTCGAGAGAAGAGGAGACGGGCGGAACAGTTTATGAAGAAATGGAGGTTGATGTCAGGTGACAGCCTCCTGTCACTCAAGGTCTTTGAACCATATAAATAATAGAACTGAGGAAATGAAAGGAATGGAAGGGGAGTTTTCCTCTTCAGTTCCTTTTAGTAAAACATCAAGACCTAAAAAGGGTCATATATATATACATGTATAGGCACCATGTATGCAGTAGCATTCACTTTTAAGACCCGGGGCCCCCGAGGTCTCAGACTGTCCAACGTGCACCATGCTTGTAAAGAAGTGGCTCGCGATCCCCCCTCCCAATGCAAGAAAGGTCAAGCCAAAAAAAAATACAGTTGTCAATCTGGGCTTGTAGTTATACAGCAAGCTAAGCGATGTCAAGAAAACATTAACATTCTTGGCATTTTCAAAGAATTAAAAACTCTGCAGCGAGAATAGTATCTCGAACCAAAAGATGTGAACGTATTACACCAGTTCTAAGAAAACTCCACTGGCTCGCCATCAAGAATAGAATTATCTACGAGATACTTCTAATTGTCTACGAGTTCTTCATGGTCTTGCTCCAGAATGTATGAGTAAACTACTTCAACCATACAAGCCAACGAGAGTCCTAAGAACAGGATCCAAACAACAACTTAAAGTACCTTCATCAAGAACAAATTACTACGGTGGACGTGCGTTCTCAATCTACGCACCAAAGTATTGGAACACTCTACAATTATACATCAAGCAGTCTGCTTCTCTGGATTCCTTTAAGAAGGAACTTAAGACTTTTCTTTTTTGCAATGAAACAAATTTTTGATATCGCTAATATCACTGATATGATATTTTAACATGATATATATCTGTACATATTTCTGCATTCTTTTTAGCTATTATTTATATGTYTGGAGATTTGATCAATATCTGCAATTAATCAATTAACTATTCTTTTATTCTTTTTTCTTATTTTATTCTTTTATTCTTTTACTTTCAAAATTTCTAAGTATTTGTTATAAGAACATTGAGACAGGTGTAATGGGCTATACAAGAATTAAAGTTATTATTATTATTATTTTTTTGGTTGAAGCCACGTCTTATCAATATTGGCTAGAAATCTGCCTCTTAGCAGCGACTCGATAGGAAAATGAATGGCCGTGGCTACCAGTACGGTTGGTCCGGTTATAATAGCCCACTTCCGAGATATTCTTCGCTTGTCACGCACAAAGGTTTCAGTATGAGGCTACTTGCTAAATACTCAGCTTATAATTTAGCACGTAGCCTCATACTGAAACCTTTGTGCGTGATAAGCGAAGCATATCTCGGAAGTGGGCTATTGCGGAGCACTTTTTGCCACTTCAGTCATAAATTTTTCACTTGCTCGTAAAAAGGATTTATTAAACGAAACAGTAGCTATCGCTGTAGCCCTGAATTAACAATTCACATCCTAACAATTGACTTCCATTTGATCTAAGTGGGAGGTGGGGAAGGCAATAGGGCCGGGAGAGCATAAACTGAGAGAGGGCCGGAAACTTGTTAATGACGCGCCCGCCATGAAAATTCTCGGTTGTGCTATTTCCTCTTATTGAATATATCAGAAAGATCGTTGTGATGATTTCTGATTTCACCAGATCTTTGGTTTTTAAACACTTCAAATTATGAAATAAAGGATTAGTATGAGCTCTTTAGTCACTGAATGTAGGAGAGATAAGGTTATCTCATAAGTGTTACCCCAAGCCACTAGTCCATAAGTAAGGCATGGATATATAAGAGAATATGTTTTTCACTCATGTTAGCACTAGACATAGATACCATACAAGATTTTCCAGTGAAGAAAATTATTCTTTCCCGACTGTAAAAACCAGTCATGACAAATTTGATTTGAGATTTGTTGGTGCAGCATTATGGAACTCTTTAGATGAAATTTTGAAAAAAGAAAAAAAAAAAAAAAGCAAATTTCAAACAAAAATTATTTTCCATTTTAATCCACAGTTGTATCTCGAAATAAACTCGTAAATAATTTATTATTTATTAATCTCTTACCTATTATTCATTCATTTGTATCTTTATTTATTGTTATAATTCATTTTTCTATTCCATTCTTTTTGTTTTAGTTATTAATATAAATATATTCTTTCTGTCAAATATTCGTAAGATTCTTCCTGACCTTATATTGTAAATAATATAGCGGCTAATTGTGTCATTCAGGTTTCTGTTATGTAATAGCCTATGCCTTACAGTTTGTAAACGTATATCTTTTAAAATATGTAATATTATTGGCATTAATAAATATATCTTGCATAGAAAACCTAGAAAGCTGTGATCGCTGAGGATCATGGGAAATATTTCAAATCAAACAAGTGAAGCTTTTGACACAAACTGCAGCAGTTGATGATGCTCAGAGAAGGTGGAATTGTAACTGGTAAAAGATCAGTCTCAAGCGGTTGAAACATTTGATATGTATTTACTCATATGACGCACAGGAGTGGGGCAAGGCGAAATTTAAACTGTACCCTGTTCCCATAAATAGCCCAACCGGGAATTTAAATGGCGCGCGCGTTATTAAGACGTTTCCCTCTCTTACTTATGCACTCTTGATAGGGCTGAATTTTTTCTAAAGAGATTTTGAATTTTAATTTTCCAGTGAGATTTGAGGGGGAGGTTATCAAAAAACGAGACTCAAGAGGGAGGAGGGGGGGTGTGGGGATCAAATAATCGGAGTCGCGCAGCACTTAAACAAATGGAAAACAATGGAGCCAGGCAACAACGTACGGAGGGCTAACCCATACCAGATTTCTGGTATGGGTTAGCAAGGCTATGTTGCCACGAGGATTTCCACTAGCACAAGCATTTAACGAGTACTTCTAGCTGACCGTGCACCTAAAAGTTGTCGTTTATTTCATTTGAACAACTTGTTTTGTCGAGCTTTCGGACTATAAGGGTCCATCTACAGGACATCATGTACGAAGTACGTAAGAAAAACAACGTATGCAAGACAATGGAAACAAAACGTATAAAATAAAATATGAAAAGTGTTCATTTTTTGTTTTGCTTCAATTACGACAACACTGTTACTGTTTCAATGTTAGTAAAGCTGAAGAGAGCACTAGTTCACAAGCAGGCCTTTCGCTAGGAGTGGCACGATGGTTTGAATGAACACCCCCCTCCCCCTATACAAAAATTGCAATAAGACGCAATACGTATATGTAATAGGACTCCATGCTGTCCAATTAAGAAATAATTGGACGAGGAAAATCCCGGAATTTTTCGAGTCTAATTATTTCTTGATTGGGGAGCATGAAATCCCATTACCTATTAATTATATAGCTGCCTAATTAATCCCATATCAACAAGACCTGTCCAATTAAGAAAATAATTGGATAGTTACCTATATGGGATTAATGAGAAGCTGTATAATTAAATTTGTTATCAACAAAATGAAAGTAACAATTCTAACTTCCCATTGAATGCATTGGCTTTGGAATGGTTTCCATCATTTCCTTATTTTAGGCATTTTAAATAAAAGTGTTTCTAACCCAGTAAGAAAAAGGCATTTCTTAATTTCGACAGATTGGTTAATTTTGATCCTGGCAGTGCCAAATTGAAGTTCAGATCATATACCTAATTGCAAGAAATGGTTGTAAAACAAAAAAATAGATTTAGGATTAGTAATGCAAACTTTATCCTCGCAGTTGATACTCTTCTTTCAATACTCGGCCGTCAAATAAAAGCTCCCCTTATATTAACAATTTTAACAAGAATTTTTATTCAAATTAATCAGTAAAACTAATACTTTTAGTATTTTGCTTATTTCATTTGGCAACAATCTTGCAATAAGGTATAAATAGGATTAAGCCTTCAGTTTTCATTCATTCTTGCTGTAAAAAAAACACCCGACCTTCGAAAAAGATTCCCCCTCACCTCCCTCCTGACCTTAGCACTGACCTACCCTGTCTATTAGATATTGTTTCATGGGTTAAAATCATTGAATCACTCTGGTCACCTGGATTGCCCCATTGCTGCCAGGCCAGGCCAATAAACTACATGCTGACACAAAATACATGAAAAAAGCAACAAGTTTATATTGATCTTTTTTATTGCACAAATAATTAAAGGCAATGAGTGTTATTAGTATCCATATGATTCAATAACTTCATTAACACTCTTGAGTTCTTGTGCCTTGGTTTCCTCAGCCTTTTGCTTCAGTTTCTGCAAATATAAACAAGAACTTGAGCTTAAGAAGAAACTCAAGCTTCAGAAGGACATCGACCAAAACCTTGCCCTTACACATACTGTATATGCTTGAGTGGATTAGATATTATTATTACAGTCTTTTGCTTCACTGTGCCCACTCTAAATTATGTTCTATTGGAGAATGGAGCATGATGCTCATGCTATCTGTACATATGCTAGGCTTAAAATAATGGCCTGTCATTGGACAATGTCTGGCCAGAATTGAAACTGTTACATGGGAACTTGTCTGATCAAAACTTTGCCTCGCCAGTCATTTTGAACAGTATCGTCAAGCTAGAAATGAGGTATGACCAATCTAAAAGTAATTTGGCAAGTGATCATGACCAGCCACTGACTGGCCATTATTGTAAGCCCTGGTACAAAGTCAAATTTCAAGATTAATGCCAAATTTACAATTTTTTTCTTCTACTGTATACAATAAATTCTAAATTTAGCTGTCAGCATAAATATAATTTCAGAAATGCAGCACACACATGGTTCGCAGAGTAATTTAAGAAAAAAATTCCAGGACTTTTCAAGGACGTTTAAGGACTTAATGGTCATTTTCAAGGACTACAAGGACAGAAAAGAACCAGTGAAGGGAAATAAAAACTGTATCTAAACATGCAGTACTTCTCCTCGTTTAACTTGGAATTGACATTGGAAAGGGGGTAGCTTAAAGTGCTTATAAGCCTTTGCACAATATTTTCAGAATTGATTCTTTAGTTAGTGAATAATTGATGTGAAAATATTTCGTCATTTGAATGTCGGGTCTTTGAGATACGAAGGTTTATATTCCCAATATGTTAATGACTATGATCATTTAATATACAACATTGCACTCGTTCTGGAATAAAGTATTTTAAAAGCATCACCCTTTTACTCGTAACTCACGTAGAGGTTCTTACAAATTTGTTTTCAAAAAATGTCCAGCGTTCAATATTTAAAGCTGCCACAAAATAACTCAAATCCCTTATGTTACGTCATAGTCATTAACATATTGGAAATATATGAAATTCTGAAAATATTGTGTAAAGGCTTATAAGCACTTTAATTACCAAGTTTGAAGGATCCCTACGCCATCTTGAAAATTACCCACAATACAGCAAAACAACTGGAAATTACTGTTTTATGTATCATTTTAATTATTTTTGTAATTTTAACCAAGGTATTCCTCTTTCTAAAGATGAAAAAATATATTTTAGATAGTACCCAAGAAAWTCCAGGATAAAAATTAATTATTCAAGGAGTCAAAATAAAAATTCCAGGACTTTTCAAGGACAAAAATCAAAATTTTAGAATTCAAGGAGTTTTCAAGTACTGAATGCATTTTAAAGGACTTTTTAGGGCCTGTGCAAACCATGCACACAGGAAGGGTTGAAAAACTCAAAAACTGTGAGACGTGCTTGCTATAGTTCAAGCTATCAAATTTTCCAAGAGCTTTTGCCACTTCCTGCTTGCTGAATTATTGGGGCGGTCTTGTTTAGTTTAATCGTATTATTTGTTTTTTGAAATGACATAGTCCTGTAGCGGTACCCCTGTAGTACAGTATATCATAAAATAGCCCTCCAATAGTGGTCATAATTACATACATGAAAAAAAATTACTCAATTCTGATTGGCTTAGAGCAGTGTTGTTAAAATGTAATACAGTGCAAAAAAGTGTAACAGTGCAAATTACAAACGGCTAGCTTTTAATTGGATAATGAACAATAGTAAATGATTTTAACCAATAAGATGACAGATTTTTATGATGAAAAATTTGAGGGAAATAAATGTATTAGCAAATTGAGTAGGGGAAAAATTGCAGCTATTTTTATCTTAGGTTAAAGTAAGCAAAGATTGTGTGGATCTAGTGTCAAACAACTAAAAACAGTTCAAAAAAGAAAACACAAGTAAAAAGTACATCGTTATGGCTGAATATGTGTAAGTAATAGTGAGAAGAAAACGAAACATGACATGGATTGAGGGAAATTAGCAAGCCGATCTAAAGAAAATATTCAAGCGACTCTTTGCCGAAGTAAAGCAAAAACTAAAATGGAAATGAAAAAGACTATGAACAAGACCATTAAACACAATGTGGTAAGAGCTTGCACAATATTTTTGTCTACAAGATTCCAAAACTGAGCCGCAAAGTTTCCTGAACACGTTCAACAACTGTCAGGTATAATGTTTTCAATATACAACTCCAGTTAGTTGCAAAGTCAGCCAATCCAAATGTCTTCATTCATAGTGATTCAGATTTACAGTAAAAATAACTTTTCACAATCAACATATATAGCCAAATGTTGGTTTAAAATAAATAAAAAAACCTTCCAGTTACATGTAAGCTTATTTGAAACCAAAATTGCTTTGAATATAATTGGTTGTGAACGAACGAATTTCATAAAATATTATGCGTTGAATATTTCACACATTTTTGTCTCTTTCTTTTGTAATATTTTCATGTATGTCATTAAAAAGTAATAACATGATTTCTCATTCAATTTGGGAATATTTGCACTTGTGTGTCTTTCAAAGAGCTGAGATTGCACTTGACCTACAGCTTCATGCAATTTCAACTCTTTGAAAAACACTCATGCAAATTAATCCCAAATTGAATTCAAAACCGTGTTATTACCTATAATAATAAGAAAACTTATTATCATCTACACTGTACTATTTAACTGAGCATACTGATTTGGAAACAAAAAGACATACATTCAACAAAGTTAAAGAAAAAAATTGTTATGGAATATATCTGGGAGGGATTAAGATTTCATTATTACGCGTTGTACGATTGGCTTCTCATCACACTGTTTACTTTCGGCCCAAAGCGTTATGAAATAATACATTTACTCTTGCCTACAAATTATTTCATTCAAGATATAAAAAAAATTCATTTCCTTCTTTACAACAGATATTATGTCATTACCTGGATCTTTGTCTTGTGTTCGTGATAAACAAGAGCCTTGGCCTTGCGTTTTTCTTCCAAGGTACTTAGAATGTCCTAAAAATGACAAGTATGTTAATGGGAATACACATACATGAACATGCAAATGTCAAGATGAAATCCCATTCTCTTTCTCTTAAGATAAACTGTCTTATTTAACTTGCATCAATGTAATGGCATTGTCAGTATCTTTTGCTTCTTATTAAAACATAAGCATAACTGAACGTATAAAATTTGCTATCAATAAGCCTGTAAAGGTTTTTTTCAGGATTTTCTGCCTCAACAAAAATCAACATTCCCAAACTCCAATTTGATCTTAAGTGATATTCTAGATAGTGTTGACCTTATATTTCCTTTTGCAAACATGTATAATGCAAATAAAGTCATTTATGATGCACACTAAAGAAACATGTTTTACCTGATACTTCCAGCCAACTTCATGAGACAGTCTGCCAAGAACACAGTACTAAATAAATTTCATAACAATAAGGATTGAGTAAACTGGTAAATCTCATTCTATTCATTATTTTATAAAGCTATTATTAATAGCCTTCAAGAACAACAAACACACATAAATTATATCCAGCTATTCCAAAAACGATTTGTGAAGGTTTTGTTTAAGTTACACCTTGCTTGTTGCTTGCAAACTTGAAATGTTTTATATTTATAATAATTGTGAATAATGTCAGCACAGAAGAGAATGTACCTGGAAAACATGCACTAGAAAAAGTTGGGTAAACAATCATATGGTTGTGACCTCTTACTGATTGCAGGGTTCGTAAAGATTTTATAATACAAAGTTTAAGGACTTTTCAAGGACTTTTTAAGGACTTATATTCAATTTTCAAGGACACAAGATCAACGAACAGAAAAATACAGTTACTATGCTGACGAAAACAGGCAGCCCAAAATAAAAAAGATGTTACATTAATCGATTGAATTATTTTCATTTTGCTCCAAAAAACTTGACTCATTTAAATTTTGATCCCTAAAACATTATTTTACATTAACCAAGACTAATTCAAGGACTACATTTTCAAGGACTTTTGCTCCAAATTCAAGGACTTTTCAAGGAAAATTCGTAATCCAGGACTTTTTAAGGACCTAGCTCAAAAATCAAGGACTTTTCAAGGCTGTACGAACCCTGCGATTGGATTCACCTTTCCATTGTACACTTTGGGCTTGGTATGCAGCATGCAACAACTTTTATCAACCTTTTTGAAATAGCTGTATACACATATTTTCTATCATTAGGAAACTGTAAAGGTGTAAGCTTTTTGTGTCAGTACTGAACATCATTCTGCTGTGCAGGAAAAAGGTGACTACATATGCCCACTCTCTTTACCAAAAATGTTACCAAGGGTATGCAAAACACTGGTTCCTTTTGTAAAGTGGGGACAACTCAGTAGCCTGTTAGGTTACCTGTCAGATTCTTAACTTGTTCTCAACAGGTAAAACAATCATTCAAAATAGCAAAAATGCTAAGAAATTAACAGTTTGGCAACCAGATATGAAGACATAATCATGCGCTGGTAACTTTTTGGAAAAGTTTATTTCAAGCCGCGAAGTTGAGAGGTCATAATCACGAAAAATAAGAATAAAAACATCAAACAAAAAAAGGACATAATATTTCAAAGAATTTAACAGTCGTCCTTTTTTCATTTTTAGTGAAAACAGCCTCTAAAACCTGGGTTCTTACCTTCCTTCCTGGCTTCAGTCTTACCACTCTAAGAGCTGATGGCACAACCATGCGCTTTATCTGAAATAATACCCATTAAGAATGTAAAAATAGCAGAAATGACAATGTGCCAATTTATGCACACAAAACAATAACTGTCTCATCATAGCTTGGTGGAGGAAAAAAATGTACAGTGCATTGTGGTTTAGTGGACATATTTCCAAGATGCCATTTATTTTGTCCCCCGAAACACAGTACCACAATACACTGCAATGCCAAGTCAACCAGTTTTTCCTCAAGCTCGTAATGGCTAAAATTGAAACTGATAACGAAGATTTGCCCCTAAAATTAAGTACCTTAACCTTAAAAGCACAAACATGTACAATACCAGGAAAAGAAAGGAATCATTAAACACATGTAAAAACAATACCTTATCATATGGGCTTGGTATTCCATCAAACACCTTCATACGATTCATTGCTTCGGTGCCTCTTTTGGACTTGTGTGGAATCATACCTGGAATCAAATAAATAACAACGGGGTCACACAACTCACCTAAACCATGCTTTTCATATAATTGAGGGGAAAAAAGTCTAAAAATATGGCATCGAGAGATTATTTTTTAAGATTTAGTTTTTAAATATATCATATTGGAAATGAGTGAATCTGCAAATGAGCGTGCAATATATGATATGATATATAGAGGTTATCAGTCGGCCAAGCATCTGATAGGGCTGTGTATTTTTATGAGTCACAGAGTATTTTAGCAAGCCTTTAGGTGAGCCAAAATACAAGTAACAATGCACAGTTGTATCAGATGCTTAGCCAATTGATAAGTTGTTTACTGTATCATTTAATTCTGCAAAGAAATGCTTAAACTCCCTCTAAACTCTATCGTAAAATCTTTTAGCTTGGAAATACATTAAATGTGGTCACACTTCTGTTGCATTGTAATATGGTTTTCAATCAAACGTTTACTACAACAATATCATGCTGACTCTAAATGTGTAAAAACCAAGCATAGCAGTTAAGTATAAAATACTGTTAAATGCAAGGTGTCTTACTTACCTCGGACAGTTCTCCAAAGAATCCTGCTTGGGGCACGGAAATGAAAGGGTCCATGAGATGGCTTGGTGTTGGTTCTCTTGCGCAAGAAGTCAAGATATTTCACTGTAAAGTTTGATGTTGATAACTTAGTCAACTACAGTCACATACAAGTTCATAATATACATTTTGCAGATATTGTATTTGACCAAAACTGTGACACAAATCAATGGTTAAAATGTCTAGAGCAGCTACAGCATGGGTTTGAAGTGTTCTTTTTCACTTAACTATAAAATTTTGAACACAGTTCAAAGGAAAATACCTCTTCTTTGCGGTTTCTTTCATCCAAATATTACCTAAAATGATTTGGAGCAACTTTTGTATGTTTCTGAAATATTTTGCTATTTATTTGTTCATTTAAAAAATTATATTCAAGATTTGGCTCTGCCAATTGAACAGACATTTTTGGCAACACAATTAACCCATTACAGTCATGCGCTTCAAACCTTGGCCACCCATATAAAGTTTTTGACAAGTTTGAGGAGTTTGATGACTTCCAGTCTTCATTGGTCAATCGCTTCATGAAAAGGGCAGTAAATCCAAAAGTCAAATCTTTTAATACTAGTAGTATTTTTTAAGAGTTATCAGACATGGATGCAGATATAAACTTTTATAAGTTCTCATTTGCATGAGATTATTTTCTGTATACTTCTATTGCCTATTTTATTTTTATTCATGCGTTGATTTCTTCTCAACAGCATCCATGTTCATGAAGTCATCATTTCTATCTTTATAGCAAACTCGGATTGTATCTGGATCCAAGTGTGCAAGTGCTGAACAGTGTTTCTCTATGTTCTCGATCAAGCTTTCATAGGATACAGTTTCCAATAGGAAGGTAGCAAACCTTTCCCCATAATCAACTTTAATTTGAATGGCCATTCTCTTCTGTTCACGCATCAACACAAGAAGTGCAACTTTGATGTATATTGATTCACGCCCCCTAGATTACAAGCAAGGTCATTGGTCATGTAGAACAACCAGAAGTCATCAAATGCCTCAAACTCTCAAACTTGTCAAAAACATGTCAAAAACTTAATATGCGTGGCCACGGTTGGACATGCACAACTGTAATAGTATGCATTTGTTTGCAGTGATGTTGCAACATAATGTGAATGATAATAGCAATCACTTTTATAAAGTACTTACACTTGTTTCTGTAGAAATTACCACTGATGCAAATACTTTCACATCGTACAACAACTACACGCTGGCCTACAAGAAATGAAGGTTACTGTATATTAAATTTGATCTTTTTTATATTATATGGGTGGTACTTGATTCATTTTGACATAATCATTTGAATATACTGTAGCATATATGTTCAGGGTTCGTGTGGAGATATCCACTTTAAATTCAAGGACTATTCAATGAGTATTAAAGGACCCAGCTAACCAAGCCATGTTTTTACATGGCTGACTTGCCAAGTCTTTCAAAGTACCCCTCATAAAGGGGAAGTGATGCCTGGTTGATATTGTATTTTGCATATAGTGGTAGGCCGAATAATATGGTAACATAACAAAAAATTAACATTACAGGTTAATAGTATTTTATTGGAGACTGGAGCAAGGGTTGCACAACAAGTGATCACCATACTTTGCTGGGCTGGCTGTACAGGTTTCTTAACTATTTATTTGTTTTGTTACACTCTTTTGCAAGGTTAGCTGTGAGTGCATGAAAGACCAACTAGAGCATAACTATCCAAGTTACATCATTAAATTATTAAACATTCATGTCTGGATAATGGATATCGGAGCAATTATAGAATAACCCACGAATGATATGTAGTTGTTGCAGCTCTTTGTAGAAGTCATGGTTATTAAATATGTGAATATGATTTGCAGGATATTCTATAATCATACGTGGATATCATTACAATCAGCTTGTCACTTGGTGAATGCTACCAAACTGTAGCTAGCAGTGCTTAATAATGTACGGTACTTACCATTAAGGATACTTTTGGCAATGGTTGAAGCCAGACGGCCAAGCAAGTGACCTGAGGCATCAATGACTATTTGCTGCAAATGCAAACAAAAGATACATGAGGATTCATGACTTTTTGAAATCAGTTATATGTGTCTTTTCTTTTACAGTGTAATATCCTTATTCTTACAAAAAAGCCAAATTTATTTCAGATATATGGTTCTCGAAAAACAGAAGTATACTGTAATCTATAAAGAAATGAGCACTATTTCTTGATAGTACGAGTAAACTTGATACAAAATGCTATAATCATTATATTAACATAATGAAATGCAATGCTTCCAAGAGGCCAGCAACAGATGCAAAGCTTTAATATTTTGAACTTTCAAATTCAAGCAAGGGTTCTTTATAAATAAATCCTTCTGATTTCTAGCATCCTTTTGAGAGTCTAAGGCCAAAAACGAGGATAATAAAAATAAATGCCGATATCATGATCTGCTAAAACAGACAAAACCTCCATAAAACACGAGACATCGAAGTACATGTAGCAGTTTACAACATGGAGATGGCGGCCATGTGAGTCATCACGATGAAATTTTGACACGAATTTTCAAATACTAAATCCTCTCTAGATGCTTCAAAATTTCAATCACGGCAAAGTAGGATATATATTTATTCTTATCCGGCAGTTATATATTATATATATTTACTTTGAAGCTAGTATAAGGCAGTTTATTGGACACACATTCACGATATCCTACCTTTTCAAAGCCCATACTGGCGGAAAGAGAAAGAACGAGTTACACATGGGCCACTCATCTGCGGGGCGGCCGGCCCTTGTTCGATGAGTGAGAGAGACTGGAAACCATATATTGGGCTTCCTGTGGAAGTTTACGTCATAAGTTCACGTGATAGCGGAAGGAATACTCACGTATTTTTACCCGTGTTCAGAATTCTGCCCAAACTGTATTATTCACATGTATAAAATGACATCTCCTCTTGCAAGAGCCTCCATAAATGCTTCTAAAAAACTACTTGGAGCTTCTAGTGTCATCAGGGTACAGACACAGACTGCTTTTTATCACAAAAATGTAAGTCTTTGTCGTGTGTTTTGTGAAAACGTTCTTGCATAACAAGTGCGTCATGTTTTCACGTTCTAATTATTGTGAAAACGTGCATCGTAGAAAGCCACGAGAAAAATGGGGATTTGATCACAAGAATAGCTTAATATTATTTTTTACTGGCTTTGGTTCCACTAGGGCTTTACAGCGTTGTTACAGCGCTGTTCTTAAGACAAGACTTTATAACGGGTTAACAACGATATTTATTTTGCGGTTCCACTAGAAAGTCTAGACGTGTTGTAAACTTTTATTGACAATTGAGTAGTTTATCTCTGTGCTTGCAGTTCGCTCTTTTTAAAATATTTCCCGGCAAACTAAATGCGGTGAAGTTAAGTTTATTTTGTTCTTTCGTTATATTGATTTTTCTGGCCCATCAAATGTATTTGAGTCCACAAATCCGGGGGGAAAACGCACAAACAAACAAGCAAACAAAAAGATAAACGTAGAGGAAAGGAAAGCAAGAGTAAGTAAAATATTTAAAAAATAATAGCTTTCATTTTTTTCCGCTCTGGTATCCTAAAACATTCTGCGTTCAGATTAGCTGTTTGAGCAGGCGGTATTTTATCAGTATCTACCACGGTCCAGTATCCTTTGCCGCTAAACAACAAAACAAAACGATTACAAAAACAAGGAAAAAAAATATGGGGAAAAAATAAATTAAGTCATTTACTGGCCAGAAGGTCTGAAAAAAAAAAAGAAAAAGAAAACTTGTGCTCTTTGGTCTTCAAAACCTATAAGACCTCGGACACAGTTTTTCCATATCTGGACCTTCTGGCCGGTAAATAACATATATACCCTGGTAGGGAGGGAGAATCATTATCCATGCTTTTATCTCGAGAATGAACGGCAAACCAACTGAAAGATGAAATCCACATGCACGAGCTAAAATGTTGCACATCTTTGTTTTGTGGACTGTGATTGGTTCGCCTTAATTGGTGGTCAGATAAACTCCAGATAAACGATGCTTTTGATAGTTGTAAATGCGTTGTGATTTATACTTTGAAAATGCCAAATATCTATGGCAACAGACAACAACAACAACTCATGGATTTTACCTGGTTTCATTAAAAATACTTAAAGACCCATTGCCACTTACCGTGATGCATCACAATTTGTTTACATTTTGAATTGTGTCACCACTGAAAAAACAATTCCAACATTTTGAATAAACTCTTAAATAGTCCCTAAAGCCGTAAAATAAAGTAATAGAATAATTATTGTGCCTTAGTGCTATTTCGGAAAAGGATTTCATATGACGTTATTATTCAATATATGAATCTTTGAATTTCATGGACCACGAAATTCATCTGTGACCGCGGTGCATCACGGTAAGTGGCAATGGGTCTTTAACACCATTGTAACAATGTTGTAAACTACTCTAGTGGAACCACAGCCACTGTTATCAGTGCTTGGTAATCATTGTTGTTGTGTTTGCTAAGAAAGGTGTCTCTCTATTTGCTTAAATTATTATTATTTTTAATTTGCTTACATTATACCAAAGATATTTACAGTGTACATGAAGATTACTGTAAATATGAATACACTTTTTTATTTCCTCTCCAAAATATATGGATAAATTGCATATTTAGATTCATTTAGCTAATGGTAAAAAAAAAGATCTTTAATACTTTATGCATGCATGATTAGTCTATTTCTAGTTAAATTTTGAACTATATAGAAGTTAATAAATAAATTACCTTAACCACTGCTTTTATTGCTGGCACTGATTGACACAACAGTCGCAACAGGGAAATCAGCCAATAAGCGGCTGTCAATCAAATAGATTGTTAGGTTCATTTACATACACTGATTGACGACAATGTATTGCCCAATTTCCCTGGTGTCAGTCAGTGCATACAAATAAAAAATGAAAACTGAGTGATAAGCAAACAACATTGCTTTGAAACAGTGACATAAGAGCCATGAGCTAGCAACAAACCACAAAGTACTGTAACTGTTAGAGCTAAAATTCAGACAAGTAACAAAAGAATGTTTTGAAATTGCTGCAAGCATGTAGGCAGTTGTGAAATTCAGGCAGAGGACTTGGGTACGTCTTGCCTCCCCCCCCCCAAATAGGGGCTCATTTGTTGATTTTCCATTCTCATATGACAACAATTCTGCATGTGATTAGATGTAAACAATGGATATAGTAATGTCCAGTTTCTTTACATTCTCAGTTCTTTTGCATCCTTCCAATGCAGGATGAGGTAGGACTGAGTGGAGTCCAAACTGGTGTGTAATCATATTAGGACCATGTAGCGATAGTCCAATTATTTGTTTATTTTAATTATGATTACTGACTGAATTGTACAATAATCATTTCTGTTACCAATTAATCATAACTATAATATAACTATATTACCATTCCTGTGTGTGTGTGTGGGGGGGATCATGTTAAATAATGCTATCCAGTAAAATGACCAAAAATATTGACATACCTGTATTTTGGTAAAAAAGCGAGGAATACTTAGTAAAAAATCTCACGAGCACGCACTTGATGGCCTAGCATTTTGGTAATCAAGCTTGTACATTTTTACTGGTGCAATGCAAATGGTTTTTGGAAGTGTTTCATTACACTGTCTAATTTAATGCTAAAATAAGACAGTCTGTCAACCAATCAGATTTTAGGAAATCCTACAGTCAAACAAGCTCGCGCGTTGACCCCTAGATTAGATTAATGAAATCATTAGTCAATTATTCCTTTTATACGTACGAACCGGAATAATGCAATATTCAAATGAAAATTCAGTTCATTATTTGACTCGTGATGAAGAAGGTAAATCATCTAAATTACAGATACCTTCGAGCAGAAGTCGCTCTCTTATTTCATAAGCATACACACTAGGTTTTGTAATTTCCATGCCTCAATTACTTTGAGGATAAATTTTGTAGGGAACGCTCCCGCCTTGAGCGAAATGGAGAAACAGTTCCATGTCGTCGATAATGTTGAAGTATTTTCTGGACTCCCCAACTAGAAATTTTCAGTTGTCACGAAATTGCTTTATTGGACAATCTGCTATTGCTGAGATGAACAATTTCCTGTCGAATAATATCAGGTAAAGGCTTTCCCGGGACATAAACATGGCCAAGACTATTTCTGGCCGCCATGTTTCCTTGGTCTTCCGGCTGTGTTAGCACTGATAAACCAATCAAAATGTTGTATATTGAATTTAAAGTTGATTGGAATTTTCATATCTTCGTTTCCAACGTTGTAAATTTCAACTGAATAATAAAATCAAAATTCGAAAATTCAAATCATTAATTGACTCTAGGGGTCAATGCGTGAGCTTGTTTGACTGTAATAGTATATGATTAATGGGAAAATATCAAGTGTATGATGTATTCTTATGATATTTTACATCATAGTTAACAAAAAAACCCAGCTTTTTCCATAATAATGTTGAGAGATAAAGCATGCAGAAAGTAATGTAAGCTCAAAAGAAGTATGAAGAGAAGCAAAATCTATAGGTGAATGCTTCTCACACTTCTTGAGCGATTTTAGTGCTTTCTAAGTGTTTATCACTGACCAAAGCAAAGGGAAAAAACTGTTTATTATATTAATAGAAAGAAAAAAACCTGTTGTCTTTTAAATACTGTTTTCTTACCATTCTTTGCAAAGTTTTCTGCGCAACGGTATAACTTCAGCTACCCTGCTCCTTTCACTAAAAAGCACAGTTGTAGACCAATCAGTACATGCATACTATCTTACTATTCTTTGCAAAGTTTTCTGCGCAATGGTATAACTTCAGCTACCCTGCTCCTTTCACTAAAAAGCACAGTCGTAGACCAATCAGTACATGCATACTATCCAAGCAAAATCTATATTTAATATTTTATACTTGTTAATTGCCATTTGCTTATTTTAGAATTGAGCACTCATAACATACAGTCTGGTCATTTACATTTACATTGCAAAGCATACCATGGGGAGGGATGTCATGACAAAGGTTAGATTTATTAGTTGTTGACCAACTATTTGATATTAACTAGGTGATTGATCACTATGAGAATCCAAGAAACGTGGGATCACTTGACAAAGATGACTCTGCAGTAGGGACAGGACTGGTTGGTGCACCTGCATGTGGTGATGTAATGAAGTTACAGGTAATGCAGTAAATATTTTCCCTGCAAGATACAATAGGCAACAAAACCATCATTTAGTTTAAATGAAATAATGGGCAGTCTGTATATCCATTTGACAATATATACTCTGTTTTACAGTTCCATTCAGTGACCACAAGTAATAGTTCCAAGTCAATGCTGGAGTTTCCACACATGCATGTAGCAAAACCATACTTTTTATTGTGCAAAGCAACTCCAACCATGGCTTGGAACTGTTATTCGTGGTCACTTAACGGAACTGTAAAATGGAGTATTGTAAAGCCCATACAGATACCTGTAGCACACTAATGTTGTACTCTACAGTGTTTATTCCTTGTGCAATACCTTAAAGTATAATTTCATGTTTCATTAACATTTTTGAGATTCAACTGAGTTCAACTGAGAAAATCCATGTTAAAGTGGAAAGCAAACAAGGACTATTCTCTATCCCATTTTCAGACTTCTCCTGGATAACTGATTTTTATTGACAATAGAAATCAGTTACCCAGGAAAAGTCAGTAAATTCACTAGGACAGAGAATAGTCCTTATTTGTTTTGACAGTGTTGTTCTTCGTTAACAAAACCCTTTGACTCCATCATATGATACTCATGCAAAATTCATGCTGTTTGAACAATAATTTAAGCTTTAACATTTTGAGCAAGTTGGGGAATGTCATGTGGTCTGAAATGGGCAATTTGCCTATGAAGGTAAAGCGACCTATTGATAACATCATTCTAAACCTTGGCTTTTAGTGATTTTTTTACCTTCAGATCTCTCTCATTTTTTCATCACTTATCCAGTTTCCATAAGCCTATATTGCAATGCATCTGGGAAATTCCAAAAAAGGAGTGTGCTTGGCTTCCTTTTTCTCTAAATACAGTAGAGCCACTTGGACTTACTTCCCAAAACCAGATTTGCAGCATTTTCCTTGAGCCAAATATTAATTGGAAAAAGAAAGCCACAGTAGGTCATGGCTTTCCATGTTTTACGAGTTCACAGTTTAATCGCACCTCCAAAATTTCTCATTTTTACCAAATGTATGACATTTTGATCCTAAAATCCCTCACTTACTGTCAGTTTTTTGAGATAATCTGATATTTTAAACTGCATTAGGGCTTCAAATTGCCTTCCGGTACTCCATAGATAAACAAAAGGGCTCTTAAAATTCCCAGTTCCCAAAAAACCTCCAAAACAAGCTGCCCATCTTAACCTGTGACTGACCAGCCAGTATTTTCAGTCCTATGGTGGTAACTGTGAATTTATTATTTCAATTGTACAATTTCAGATTAAAGTTGATGAGAATGGAAAGATAGTCGATGCAAAATTCAAGACATTTGGTTGTGGTTCAGCAATTGCATCAAGTTCATTGGCCACAGAATGGATTAAAGGAAAATCAGTAAGTTAATACAGTGTATATATAAGTTTTTTCTTTCATTTTAAGCAGTTGTTTAAAGCATGTTTTGTGTAATATACAGGTCACAGAGGCAACAACGATAAAAAACACAGATATTGCCAAAGAACTGTGTCTGCCTCCTGTAAAGCTGCATTGTTCAAGTAAGTATATCTTTATCAACCCTTGATAATAATTGTATTTAAGAGAAAGGTGAAGTACTTTAAGCATGCTAAGAGTGACCATTCCTGTTTATGCCCTGGGGGTGGGGATGTGACGATTTTGAAACAACTACATGATTAGTGAGTGAATAAATAAAGGACGAAAGAAGGAAAGAAGAAAAGAAAGAGGAATTATTGATTAAAAACATATTATTTAACAATAGCATATTTAAAATTGCCAGTTTTATTTAGCATTGATTGTATATGCTATGACGAAGACCATAAAGATAATTAAAGATGAAAATACTGTAATTTCCTTCATCCCTCACTACCCACACCCCTCTCCTGGGGATATTAGACTAGCTACTAATCCTCAATCGGCCAAATCAACCACAGCAAACACCAACCAAAAGAAAAACACTGGTACTGCTCACAGACTTTGAGCATCCTGTTGAGCATGCCAGAACGAATTATCCAATCAGCAAACGTTTTGTTCGTGGTTCAAGATTTCCTAAATCCTAGGTTACGGCTCAAAAACACACTATTCGTGCCTATTCGTGCCAAGCAGCGCCGGCGTCGCTTCTTTAGCGATTACTTTCTTTAATAAGTTAATCAAATTTACTCTACTGAAGGTAAATTTGATTAACTTATTATGGAAAGTAATCGCACGGATAGCGCAGTGGTAAATACTCAGAGCGTGCAGCTGATTCAAACGAGAAAGACCGTTGGTTGGAAAGGACGTTGTTTACTTTTAGATAAGTGAGCCCTAATTAGTTTTTATTTAGAAGCAAACATATAGTCTATCAGTGAACACTATTTAGTATCTACGAATAAGTGAAACAAACACATCGATATATGACCCAATCCGTCTCTCCTAGCGCCCTTGGTTAATGACTACATATTGTTTTGCAGTGCTTGCTGAAGATGCAATCAAAGCAGCATTGAAGGATTACCAAGTCAAGAAAGAATCTAAAAAATAGAACAATTTTGAACCACAGTGTTGATATACACCTACTTGCAAGAACGTTGTCTTACGATATTAGAACATTAGTACTTTAGCGAGAAAGGAATACATTAAAAGACAAAAGAAAAAGTTCAGCTTCAGTGATCTTCTTTTGTTTTTTAATATAATTCTTATCCCACTAAATCACTAATGTTCTATTGTCGTATGACAACGTTCTTGGAAGTAGGTGTACATTAATAGGTGAAAGTATATCTGCAGTTGTACATAGTTGAAGGCGATTATAGCATGTCTTCAGTTACATCTCTACTAATGTACTGGGTTTGAACTTTTAAGTTTCAGCAAATGTACATGTAAAGTATAGTATAATGCATTTACGTATGAGTAGTATACAGAATAGGGGTTCTGCAACGGGTGGATCAGGGTGGATCGTGGATCTACGCTAAGAATGACGTCACCCCTATAAAATGACGTCACACTCTATACCTCTTCGGATTGGACACGTCTACTTTTAGAATGACCCCCAATCATGACGTCATAGCTCCTTACAGCCAATCAGCGGTGTTGCGGAAATTCCGCCTCTAGGCTCTCTTCGGGAAGGTCACATCTATTTTTAGAATTATGACGTCATCAGACGTGAGAACCAATCCGCGACCGCTTTGGAAACTCCGGAGCGATCTCCCAGACCCCCATCTGGATAGATCATATCTAGTTTTAGCTCACTGTATTCAAACCTGTCTGGATAACGTGATAGGTTGTTTGAGTTTTAAGAACACCTCTTTTCTAAGATAGTACGATAGGTGGGATATGTAGTATCTTTTTTTTAAAGATTTTAAAGAAAATATTAATATTTCGCTCGATCCCCTGATTTTACTTTCCGCTCGTAACCTTTCTCATTTATACTATTATTTTGGTTTGTATCATTAGTAACACAACGATGGCTCCTGGCGTCTACTTGTATTACAAAGTTGTTTTTCGAAGTAAACATAATCATTCTCTCTCTCTCTCTCTCTTTATATCTGAAACTTGTTTCCCAAAGATGAAACACGCACCATGATCTTTACCATTAACAAACTGGAACTCTTAATTCACCATACATCAAGACATAAAACGTAAGATCACAGCACATACTCAAAATCTGCCGAGCTTTTTGTTTTGTTTCTCGGTAATCTCAGATTACTTCTCTGACCGGTTTTTGATCGGTCGACTGCTATAGTAGTACACTTATGTACTCATAAGTACATATCTCTATAGTTTTTGCCCTCTTTTTTCATGTTTCCCGATGCTCTCATGATTTAAGGAACGCAGAAACGTCTCTGTGAGTTTAGCGTTGTGTGCATAGAATATTAAATGCAGTGGTAGTGCGTGTGTGCGAAAAGGTTCCCCCAATAAACCATATTGGCTCTGACGTAATGTCCCATTTCAGACAACGTGTATCATTTCTTTGTTTAAGGTTTGCGCTCGGTTGCACATGAGAAGACACATGAATATGGATACAACTCAAAGAATATTATTCTCAAGGGAATGACAAGTGTTCTGAAATGGGACAACATTACGCTCGAACGCTCCAAAGCCGAGGAGGTCTATTAGTGCGAAACCGCTAGAACGACTAGACACTATTTTCTTATTACCATAACTAAACTAACTCGATTTACAACTCAATATCAACACTTGAGGTTTCGAACAAAAGAAATGGTTGAATTGAGGGGACCACTCATCCGAATGATGCGACCAAATCTAAAAAGCTTTCCTCTAAATAAGAAATAATCCACGATATTATAAGAAAAAGCGATTTTGAATTAATATGAAGCGGATGGATTACTCTAGGCTATCGATATTACATTGCTTTTACTGGTCCACAGCTGTACGTTGTCTCCTCGGCAATGGTTCTGATTGAATGTTCGTCTTCGTGTAGTTTTATCCACTTTATGCTACCTGTAAATCGGTGCCTTATCTTGACAGGCCAATAATTTTCTCCATCAATGTACGTAGACACCAGAATGGTTAGGATCTGCACTGTTACGCGATGTTCTATACATTTCTATAATATCGTATCCTTCTGGAATGTTCCCGAATGCTGGTGCGGCTCCCGAGACGTAGTTTTGCAACACGGGGATAGCTGCATTCGACCAGATTATAGAACGATGTGCGAGTTTAGGTTGTTTTATTTCTGGCTTTGTTTCGGTGCCAAACACTGGTACTGACTCGACACTACTGCTCACCTTAGTATTGGTGGAGATTCCATAGTGATGTTCTGTCTGATTTATGACATGTTCACCTGAAAATACATGAAATTATAAACTTTTGTATCTTAGCCGCAAGCAGTATATAGAAAAGGTTAATAAAGAGTTACGTCGACTTGAAAATTGGTCTTACTGACTTGGCCTGTAAGAAATGAGAAAAGTTCCTTCTCAGTTCCTCGTGTCTTCCAAGACTATAGCGGCAGTTGTGAGGCATTTTTCCTGCAACTTTCCCACTCGCGCCATTGGTGACCTCCTCATTCAAGCTATCCAGTGTTTAATGTTAGCATTAGACTGATTCCATAAGTCGTAGTTTTCGCCGCTCTTTCGTATGCTTCCCCACTTATGCTTCCCCACCACACACTAAAGGAAGCTTCATCTAAACCTGAACGAAATGAGCTGTAATTAAACCATGGGGCTGTTCAATATATCAACAACACGCGGTGGGAGTTTTATTTGATTTTGATTATTCTAAGGCGTAAAAATAAGGATTCAAAAATACCCATATGATACCCATATAATCTTTGTCTGTCTGTCTGTCTCTCGATCGATTCAGTTATTCAACACTAACGGTAAGCCTGGGCTACCTGTGATGAAACGTCTAGACAACGTCTAGTAATTTTCCAACCTCGTTTTCATACGAATACAGAATCGTAAATTCGGAGAAAAACGAAAGAAGAAAATGTAACAAAATTCCAAAGTGATTTTAAAAGAATATGAACAAGTGAATTGTGCCGAATTGAATTCTTTCAAAGTCAAGTAGCATTAGCGAAAAGAAAAAGACAGCAAAGAAACATAATATTGCACATTATTATATAATTACCAATGAAATATCTATTTTTCTCTATTTCGAAAAA